CTTCAGAAACACCGTTCATTGGCCCATATCTGTGCCTTCTCTGTACTAGAGATGAACTTAGTTCTTCTTATATGTGAAAGAGATCTGCAATTTAAATGACTAATTGCATTGTAGCTTTAGGCTGAACATATTGGTAATGCACAAATGTTGATGACATGTGAAGGGTCAAGAGATTTATAATTTAGTTGACAATACATTGCTTAAAATGATGTGGCAAAGAGCCAGAAAATTTCAGCTTAATAATTGTCTGTTAACTAACATGACATATTTGTATAGGATTCATTACCTCCAGGTACAGATTAAGCATCTGATGTACCCATAAGAAGTGACATGCGTACATGAATCTTGGGTATAATAGTGAATAAACTGACATTGCATTCACAGTAATTTGTTTCAATATGTAAAACATGTTGTTGCCTACATTTGAAAGGACTTGTAGGAATGTTGCAATGAAGTCTGAAGAAAAATGTGTAATTGAATGGAGTTTTCTATTATATAGATCTGACAGCTCTGTGAGGCTTTTTTGTAGGCTGCAGATAACATCATAAATACACATTTGTTTTCAGCTGCACAAGAAGCAGTCTGGACATAGAGATCTGAGTTTTTCAGCCATTGGCTTGAACTACCCTAATGGTCTATAGGGTTAAAAAAAATATAAAATCCCCAGACCCCAACCTAAGACAACCAACTTTACTTTTAAAAAAGAATCATATATATACTGAGTCATGTAATATTTTAATGTTGTGAATGTGGGAGTATTTCTGTCAGACTGAGGTTTGTTAGAATAGGCAGCATCAGTAGGCTGGATTGCCACCAGACTGCTAGTCAAACTTCTTTCACTTTGTCTTCTCTGGCCTACATTAGAGCACTTGTGTGTTTGAGCAAAAATGTCACAATTTTGCCAGGGTCTATTCCTTTCCCCCTGGCTGCTGGAGGAGACTCAGGTAAGTGCTTGAACACAATGTGTTAATGGTATTTTAACTCTTGTTTCCTCTTGTGAGACAGAAATGTGTTGTGTGTTTTACAGCTGGAAAACCAAGTACAGCATACACTAGATATCAATGATCTCGGGGTGACCACACATGACAGAGATGGGGGTTGAACCTGGATGCTTTTGCTTCAATTCACTAGGTGCTCTTACCACCTTTCAGCAATGTCTCTGCTGCACACAGCTGTCATTTTTCAATGTTTGGGGATGTCATTGTAGTGTCTCATGACTTTGCTTCCTTCTGCTGGTGGTATTTTTATAATGTGCAGCAGAGCTGCAATAACAGTTTACTCTCTTGGGATCTTGGCTCTGGGCCTGTGATATGTTTATGCCACACCAAAAATTGAAATGAGAGCTCTTGGCTTGACTTTTAAACATTTGACTGAGTACTTTTCTTCCTTAAAGTTTCTCCCTCCCAAGAGTTTAAAATTTTGAATTATGGTTGGTGTCATTGAAGTAATTGAATTTGGGAAGGGAACGTGTACTCCACCAGGAACAGCTCACTGAACCTGTCTGGAACTTGGTGGGGAGGGACATGTCTGCAGACCTCTGTGGGTTTTGTATCAGGGCCTGTAGAATAGCTCTGAGCAGTTTTGAAATCTTTACTGGTATCCATGGTCCAAACTTAGAGATGCCAAGCTCCAGATACCTTGCAGACTAGAAGTAAGGTGGTAGTAGTGGCTCTGTATTAGCTTTACTCTTGCCTTTTCAGCAAATTTGTATTTCATTCTCCATCCAGCCACTGGAGAGAGCTCTAGAGATCTTTAAACAGGTTTCCAGAGCAACCTCTGAATGAAACTGGCTGTTCAACAGCTTGGGACTACAGCAGGAGCACCACAAAGGGTTCTGCTGCCAAGTGAGTGTAACTGATCTGTGTCAGGTGTTTATAAAAGACTCTAAGGGTGACAGTGTGCTGCTGTGGAAAAGGTGCTGATTTGGACTCAATTCTGAGGATAGTTCAAAATCAGGACTGCTGCTGTTGTGACTTCCTGGGCCTGATTTTCAGTCAGTTGTTGTCTCAGTACGGGGATGGGTGGTTTACAGTGGTGCAGTTACGCTGCTGTAGTGCCTCACCTGGCTTACAAACAGGGTCAGCTGTGATACCCAGGCTGGCTGGCAGAATCTGCACTGGTAGCTGGCCCTCCTGGGCTGCATGTGTCTGTCATTTCCCTTTTGGAAGGAAGGCAGGAACTTCAAGGTAACAACAAAAAGCAAAGAGTGAGAAAAAAAGAAGTTGCTAGTTAGAGCACTACTAATTAGATGTTGCAGAAGGGGGATGCAGGCTGATCGCAGTACCCTTTATTAAAACTGATTCTACAGGGATGCATTTTCTCTTTGTTTGTCTTTGTACTTGTCTGTGACCTGGTTGAAAAGCAGCACTTTTCCCCTAGAAATTGACAAAGCTGTCTTGGTGTATGCTAAAGACTAGCGGTGGAGAATCCCCCAGAACAGCAAGACACAAGTGGTTGCTGCCCGAATGGGAGGGCATAATAGAGATTATCTGGGAGCAAGGAGTCAGCTGGTGTTTTTCAGGTCTCAGAAGTTTTGTGGTTTTGAGGAAGGCATATGTGAGATCTAAAGGAGAGGATTATTGACTGTTGCCTAGGGCCAGAAAAGGTTGACCTCCTGCCCAACAGGAATTTGCTCAAGTGGAGCAGCAGAGGACCCTCCCCTAAAGTGTCCCTTGTGTCAGCTTGAGAGCTCAGAGCTGGAGATTGAATAAGTCTTGGACATTAACAGCGGGTTTGTGATGGTTCTTTGGGATGTGCAGGTCTTGGACCACTGCTTGGTCCAAATTCCAAAACAAAACCAGGAAAATCCAGTGTTTCAGTACAACTGTGGAGACAGTAGCCAGCAGGAGATAGTGCTCAGCACTGCATAAATTCACTTAAAAGTAGGTTCCCTAGCATGGTCCCTATCTGGACTGGAATGACGTAGGCTGTCTGTCAGCTTCTTTAATTTTAAACCATCATGTACTGTGAGAGAAGGACACTTTCTTTTAACTTGTGGTAGGAGCTGTTGGTTGTTAAAGAGCTCCTTGGCCCCTGAAATGCTGTGCTTGGTAGCTTTGATAAGCCAGAGTGATGCTATGGGAAATTTAGAATTGTGAATGGCTGTCTTAGTAAACAGGGGCCCAGGATAAGCTTTGACTTTGGATGTGGTATTACTGCATAATATCACTTTATGTCTCTGCATTGGGCATGATGGGTAAGAATTTAAGAATAAACAAGTCCATAACACTGTCTCAAACTCAGGCAGCTTGGTACTTCTGCCCTGTTGTAGCATCTTGCAGCTACAGCAGCTTCCAAAGCAGGCTGGGTGATCTGTGCTCTCTGTCTGCCTTTTTGTAAAAGTGAACAGGATTGAGTGGCTTTGTTTGGTGTCTTCTTAAAGGTAAGACTTCTAGTCTAATGACTTATTTAGAGAGGAAATGCTTTCACCTCAATAAAGTTCTTTGAATTATAAAGGACATTGCTGTTGGGTTACTGAAGACCCTTGGGGTTTGTTTCATTTATAACATTGCCTCGGGCCTTCTGCTGCATCCTGTTGGACTGACCTCCTTTTCAACCCGAGCTGGCAGCTGCATTGCAGAGCTATCTTTTCCCTGGATCCTTCAGGGTTGTCATATGACAAACTTGAACTGTGACCCTTTTGTGTCTTACCAGGACAGCAGTGCCCTCTGTGCAATGTGGCCAGCAGTCTTCCCCATGCACGCATTTGTTCCAAGCCATTTAACAAACTGAAAGTTTCAAATGATGGCATTTCATAGTGTTTAATAGTATTGACTGTAAAGCAAATGAAATGGTGCTGAATACCCTGCGTGCTGCTTGTAAAAAAATACAGCTATTTCTACAGTGTGCCCTGAGTTTTCTGTGGCTTGCATGTGCTCTCTGGTGAATCTCTTTATATTTTTAATAAATTTCAATGTTTCCACCCTAAGAACAGTAGCATTTGCTGCTATATGTAGTCCAGCACTGGTAGTCATTTCTAATAAATGGGAGGTATAAACAGATTTCTCTAAGCAAAGTGGGCAAAGTCATTTTGCAGAAGTCTTGCAGAGAGTGTTAGGGTAAGAATTTATATAGTTAACACTGCATCCAAGCAACACCATCTCCAAGTGGTGTTGATGCTGGGAGGCATTGCCTTGCTGAAGTTACAGAGACTGAGCACTCGTATTTGTACAAATTACATTCATTACCAAGAACCCTCCAGTAGTGATAAGAGACTGGCTGTGCAGCACAGATTGGCTCCAAGATAAGTAGCCAGTCTATTGTGCAGCTCATGGTAATCTTCCTCTTCCACACCCCTAATAATAAATCTTGGGGCATTTTGGAAAGCATGGGGGTTGCTCATTCCAGTAGATTGAATATAAAACTACTAAATATCATAATCTCCTACCAATTGTATTTTCATAACCAAGCAAGACAGCTGACTGTGGTGGATAGGTTCAGATACAGTGTTCTGAATATCTGGATGCTTTCACTGAGTATTTGTTGCCTTCTTAAAGGACAGAGCACAGATGATGGCTGGGATGCGTTTCTCCTGGCCACGTTCTAAACCTAGGGTGTACTCACAGTGACAGTATTCCTCATAAAGAGATGGAAACCTCTGGAGTAAGCAGTAGTAAGAGCTGTGCATGAGTGGGGCTCTGCATAGGTACTGTATTAGTACCTTCTTCATAGTTGCCTGATCCTTTCTCAGTCTGTTTAGCAGACTTCAGTGAAATGGCAGTTATTTATCTTACCATATTAGTATAATTTTAAAGGAAGAAAGAACTTTGTGGTTGCTTTGACTGAAATAAACCATCAGCTGGCAAGTGCTTGCTTTGTCTTTCTCAGTATCTAATCTGCAAGGATTTTTGGATTGAAGGTTTTCAATGTGGAAAGCTGAGCATCAGTGGGCTAGTTTTATACAAGTAGGCAGTATAATCCAACCAGTTTAGTTAAAACTTCTATTTACATGAAATTCTAATGTTTCTGATGGGTTTTTTCTTCCTCTCTCCCCCATTTAGGGTTTGAACAGCAATGGAATTGCTGGATCATCAGGTTTTAGCCTTACGAAGCAGATGCTCTGTCCAAGAGTAACCCGTGTCTGTCTCAGGGACTTGATATTCTGCATGGAACAAGAGAGGGAGATGAAGCATTCTCTACGCTTGTACCATGCTCTTCTGAAGTGATTTGAATCTTGCATTTCACCATGCTGTCTACTGCCAAAGATAACACTGAAGCATTGTTGCACTGTCTTGAAGTTCCAGTTTCTGGAAAATGATCCGTTGTAAGGATAACTCTTGTTTACAGATAAACATTTTTATTAAATACCTAACTTAGCACCTGGAAGGTTTTCAGTAATACTTGGCTTAAATCAGTCTGTAAACCAGTGAAAACACTGAGCTGCACAGATAAGCACCTATCTGCTTGCATTTAACTGTCTTACAAGGTCTGAGGGCTTGATAAGTGTCCCTAGTTTATGTATGCCACTTGCTTCAGTACTCCAGAGTCTGCAACATCTGTTCAATGTGTAGTGCCACCTTCCAACCCAATCTTATTTAGGGAAACAAATATCATTATAATGGCACAGCATAGCATGGCAACTGTATTTAATCATGAACCAGCAGTCAGTAAACATGCTAATGTATTGCCTGTCTGATTCAATATCTTAAATTTTCTGGGTTTAGAATTACTACTGGGTGCTCATTTGTGGAGATAAAAGTAGCAAGCAAAAGGAATGAGGGGTCCTTTCTACCCCACACTTTGCCTCAATTGCCCTCAGCCTTTCCTCTGAGAAAATGACTGAGGCAAGGAGGACAAATCAGTCATTCTTGTAATTGAAGTACATCACATAGTGTAGTTAGGGCATACTTGGATGGTCATGGAAAATTTGGAGTTACTAAAAATAAAAGGAGTAAAAGATCCTAAAAAGGGAAGGTAAACAGAAAGAACAGTTTATCTTTATGTGGATACAAAAAATAGCATTGAACTTGAGCATAGATGGAAAGATATTTTAAAAAAATGTTCTGACTACAATAAAGGAAAAAGTTGAGATGCATTGAAACTCTGGAGGTGAAGACTCTCCTTGGAGAGGAGCAGTGTTTGCAAAGCACAGGATTCACTGCTTTAGAATATTGTTTTAATACTTTAATGTGGTGTAACAGGGAAGCTTCTCAAATAGAAAGTATTTAGGCAGTTGCTTTGTTCCCATTCAGTGAGAAGGAGGACTCTGGATTATAAAGACTGTTTGAACAGGTTCAAAGATTGTCTACTTGCTGGTAAAGACTGCCTTGTGGTGGAAGGAAAGCCCTCTGGGTCACCCTTCTCCCCAGGCTCCAAACGTTGCCTTTCATGACACAGCACTGTATAGTATGGCTGTTTCCCAAGACTGGTGGGAAAGACACTGACTGTATTTGTGGAATCACAGAAAATCCCGAGTTGGAAGGGACGCCCCACAACGATCATCGAGTCCAACTCTAAAGTGAACGGCCTACACAGGGATTGAACACAGAACATGATTTACACCATGCTCTAACCAACTATTGAATGGCCTCCTGCTGAATCTTCTTTTCTTTGACAAGAAACAAGCTTCCTATGGTTACTTGGCATGCTGCTTCAAAACTTGAAGCAACTGTTCACACAACTACTCTGCACTGTCAGAACCACTGTAGATGGTTACCAAATTCATTAAGTTGTGAATTGGTTATGTTGGTTTTTGTTGGAACAGTAGTAAACAAATTAGTAAATGAATACTGTAAATTATTTATATATGTATATATAGCATATATATATATATATATATAAGAAAAGCAGTACTTTGACTATAGTTTGCAAGATATTGATGGCATCGGGCAAAATTGTTTTGTATTATTAAATGCTTAGCTTTACTTTTTATGTAAAGTGCAGCATTTTCCATACTTGTGTACTGTTATTGATCAGATGTTAAAAATTATTTTAAATACTGCATTAAAGCAATTATTTTATTAAAAATAATAAATTGGTGACTGTGTTTCCTGATGTGAGAAGTTCAGCATCTGAAGCTGTCAGCACCATGACTGATGGTGTGACTTGGAGAGCGAGTCCCAGCTGTCTGCCCATCGCAGGAGCTGGCACGGTTTCCTCACGTGACATATTAACTATGAACATCCCTGTTTGAAGGGGTTTTAAACAGGAATAGGTGACAGAGAAAAAGATTGCTGGACATGGGTGGGGTGGGCAGAAAAGGCAATGTCTCATGTCTGATTTCCTGCTCTCAGCATGGAGACTGGGTTGTGGGGGTTTTTGTTAACAGCTGGGCAGCGGTGAGAGCTTTGCACATGTTCTGGGAAGCAAAAGGATGAACTGTGTCAGACTTCAGCAATGTGCTGTGGAAGCACTGTCCTAAATTATTTTTAAAGCAACTCACAATTAATTAAGTGCAGGCTGGAGAACCACCAAGAGCATCTGCAAATTGGCCTGCCTCTTTCTCTTGAAAGTAGTGCAATACTGAAGTGAAATATGTTGGAGAAAATAATTGATAAATAGATATATCTAAAGGATTATGGATTATTTAGGTGTTTTTATGGCCTGCCTATGATGCAGATCACATGCTTTTATTGCTGCCAGAGCAAGTTGTCTCTCACCAGTAGACTCCCTGTGTGCTCCTTCTTCCCCCATGTGTCATGTCCACACCCATCCCACTCCCAAAAGATCTCTCAAATTCAAAAATGTTACACTGTAAGGAGTAGCAGATGTTTCGAAAAGGTTTTTGAGCAAGTCTTTGGGCCTAATTTCAGACAGGGACAGCTTTGTCTTTGGTGCAAAAACTGAAAATATTTGTCTCCTTGCCAAGAGTTCATCCTGCCTCCCATTTGAGATCAGCTTTGCTTCTGAGAAAGCTGTCCTCTAAAGTGGCATTTAGGAAGTACCTGGGCTTTACTCAGCCACATCAGGAATTAAAGGAGATATCACCAGAGGTTCACTTCCCTGTTTTTCCCCACTCTTCCTGCCCTTTATGGGAATACTGAAATCCCAGTCATAAGATTATGAGGACAAAACCTGCTATCATACTCCCTTGCCCTTTAGTTCTCTGTGTGCTCGTGTTCAAGCTGGGGGACCTAGGGGAACGGTCTGTGCCACTGGTGCTGAGAGGGCTCTAAAGCTTGCTCCAGGCACTTCCTGCTTTCCAGCTGGCCTGCCAGCCTAGTGGCTGTTTCTGCTGCACTGAGCAACTATCCCTGCCACTGAAGTGCTCAACCTTCAGACAAATGGGTATACACCTGTGGGGGGAAAGCTGTTGTTGCTTGCTCTTTACTACTATCTCAGCAGCATTCTATGCCAAATTTCGTGTATTACTTGCTGACAAAAGGGGGCCAGTACTGTTTCTCCTCCAACTGCTGCTTTTTCCTTTTATTGCCATTTGGAAGTCTTAGCACTGAATCTAGCCCTTTGCACTGTCTTTGACTCCAGCTTTTCCCTTCTCCCCATGGGAAAGCCTAGCTGGAGTGCACTAACACACCCTGCAGCTTTGTTCGAGGTTTAATGAGGAAGGTAGCAGGGGATCATGAGACAGTGCTGGATGATTCCTCAAAGCCATTGCACTCTCTTGGACACTTTGACACGAGTAGCTTAAGGCTACTGTTTGCATCAAGTTGTTCTAGGCCCCCTCTCTTTGTAGGCACCTGTGTCCTGCCATGTGAGTGCACTGTGCTGAGCAAAAGTGCTGTCAGCTGTTCTCCAGGTTCATTTCTTTGCTCTGTTCTTTGCTTTCCTCTTCATTTGTAATCACTGGGGTGAAGAGAGAAAGACTAAAGCAAGTGAGGATGTCCTGAAGGGGCAGACAGTCCAAGTGATTGGACTTGGTGAAACAGGCGTGTTCCCAGCAGCTTTTCAAATGAGGGCTGCTGGGTTTCAGAGGCCAAGTGCTCCACACTCTTCCCTGTGCATGTAGCACGTGATGTCTGCCCATGTTGTGAAGGCTGGATGCCATTGTTATCCCAGGTCCTGTGGCTGTAGCTCTGGAAATAACTTCAATCTGTAGTGAAGGCTTTACTCCTTTGAGGGGTGCAAAGCTGAGCACCCAGACTGAAGACCACAGCACACCATACCTGTCTGTTTTGACACTTTGGGTTTTGGGCTCATTACAACGTGTCAGTGGCTTGTCCTTCCCTTAATGGATGCAAAGGCTGCTTGCCTGCAGGCCACAATGCCACTGTTTCAATTGGTGCAGGCCTTCAGTAACATAGACAAGCACCCCATCTGGCTTTGTAACATTGAAGGAATAAACTTTGTCTATATAGCCTATGTCCTCTTCTTTCCTCTCTTGAAGGCATGAGATGGTCACTCATCGCCTGCTCTCTGTAGCTGTTCTGTCATGTAAGCTGATAACTTTGCTCATGAGCCCCTGCTTCCCAGTTCCCCTTCTGGGGAGCCTGGTTTGGAAAGAGTTTTTTGCTGTGAAGAAGGGAGGAAAAGGAGGATTTTTATCCTGGACTTTAATGGTTATTCTGGAGTGGAAGGAGATGGTGGCACAGCTCAGCCCACAGCCTGAGGCTGCTACTTTATGTGCCGGGAAGCTCCTTGCAGGAAGTTGGTGTTTCATTGTGGCCAAGACTTCCACCATTAAGTCCTACTTCAGTCAGAGGTTTTCTACAAGGTCCTTACAGCAGCAGGTACCTGCCATCTCCCAAGGGATGTTTCCTTGGCAGCCATCCAAAGTTCCTGCTGGACACCCTGTCAGAGATGGTCATCCATTCTCTTCCCCAGTCCCATCTCAGAGCCCCACAGCTCTTCCATGTGTCTCGTTGTCCACCTTTGTGTCTCAGAACTAGCAAAGGGTACAGAGCCTGTTTTGTGTGATTCAAGTGGACACTGAGGAGTGTCAGGATGCCACTGAGGCCCCAGAGGGTGACCAGTATGTGTTTCACCAGAGTTCTGCCTGTTTGCAATGTCACTGGAAGGCTACTTCCCCTGCATCCTGGTGGGAGGGACCAAAGGTGGGGGTCTTCTGCATAGGTACTGCTAAGGCATAAAGTGCCTCTTAGCAGCTTGGCATGCCACGCTCCCACTCCACAGGCTTTGTTTGATAACTGCTTATCAGTAAGCAGTTACTGTCTCTACCAGATCACAGGGAACAGTATTTTTAAATCTATTTGAAATGAGAAATTATCTGACAGATCATCTGTATCTGTTTTTGAGAGCTAATTCATAATTATGTGTAGTTCCCCAAGCTTCTTGAGATATTTGCTCTTCCACTTTGAAGTGTTTAGCATGACAGCATTATTATTTACAGTTATTTTAAGGTGTTTCTTATTTCTGTTCTTAGAAGCTGGAAGGGAGGATGGAGGTATTTTTTCAATTATGTGTGAATATACATGTACTCTGTGTGTATAAGGATGGCTGGGTAACTTTTTAAAAGAAATACTCTATGTAAAGACTGAGTTATAACAGCTCCCAGGTGTGAAACTCCAGCAACAAGGAGAGAGGCAGGAAGGAGATAAATTATCTTCTTTCTTTAAGAGGTTTCAAGTTTTAATGTGTTAAAATCCTTTGATACCTTTGTGCAAAATTGGGCAGAGAATAAAGACTCCCTTGAAGAGCTGATCAGCGGGAAGTCTCAAGAAGGAAGTGTAGGAAAAGGAGAATGCATACAAAGAACAGAAAACAGAGCTTGCTCCTCTCTTCAGGAGCTTCAGTGATACACTTATGTGCATCTGGCAGACCCTTTCTTTTAGACAAAAGACATAAAAGGACCTTCTCGAAACAAAGTAGGTGAATACATGTACACAGACTGTATATTTAACAAAGCAGACTTACTGAGGAAGAAATCTTTATATTGTTGCTTCCTGCTCAATGCAATTTTCATTTTTAACTCCATGTCTCTTACAATTTGGAAAACACTTCTGTTATCACCTCATGTCTCTTTGAAGCAGTAGCACGTGCTATCACCAGCACAGAACAGCTACTGTGGGCTATGGGCCACATGCTGTCTATGGGAGTTGGTGGCCCAACGCTGAAAGAAGAGGCTGGAGTAAGGAGATGTATAGCT